AGGCCGTTACTATTAGTAACCAGAAGCTACTAGTAACAAGGACGCTTTTAGGTGGAGGCCATTGCTATTAGGTTGGAGGCCATTTCTACTAGTAACAGGAAGCTACTAGTAACAAGGACGTTTTTAGGTGGAGGCCATCGCTATTAGGTTGGAGGTAACAGCATGCTGTCGCTTCATGCTGTGGCGGCTGTTTTCATAAAGGGAACTAGGTGCATAAGCAAAGCTTCCAGCAATCCAACATTTCTACACGCAGTTTGGCTCACAGAAAGACCAAAGCTAGCTGAGAATGTGAGGGGCATCCTGCACATATATTTACGCTTATAACAACACTATCAATCTAGAATCAAGATTGATCAAGACTGGAACGTTGGAAACTTCTGAAGTTAAGCAGCAAAAAGATGTGTTTTGCCCACAATGGACGAAATGGACAGAATTATCTTGTGTAACTCTTCGCTTGGATCTGCGGAGGCCTCTTCTTGTCTCCCTGAGCCTTTGCTGTTCCATGGCGTGCCCAAACCCATTTAATGGGTCGCTTGACAGATGACGAGGGCTGGCTTGGGGTAGTTCGGGTCTCCCCCCCAATCATCGAGTTTCACTGTGATGATATATATAAATATTAAGTGTATAGTCTGGGAATATATGATGAACATATTGTGAAAGTGAAGCGGTATGAGCCGTTTGCTGGTTGCCACCGCGGTCCAAGATGGCCGATTGAGCCTTTTGTTTTCACTTTGCACTGCTGCGCCATGGCATGAAAGATCGATCCAGCAGCCTGCCGTGAAGACGTTTTCGTTCGTTGACCCGCAAGGTGTATTTGCAAACACCATTGCTAGTTGGTGGCGCGGAGCCTCAACCTCCTGATGTCCCAGACCTCATACGACTGGCAGTGGGATCCATACGATACCCCCGAAAGCTTCGACTTCGGCCAGGACGACGAGGATGAAGAGACTCAGGACACCTTCGACCAGTTCGAAGATGAAAACCCTTGGCAATGGACCCCTCGAACGGCAGGTCACAATAGCAGCAGCACCAGCACCATGCCGGAGCTCCATCGACCCGACGGAAAGACCTATGTGCCTACCTGGCTTTGCACCCAATGCAAAAGTGCTCAATGGAGAGTGCAAGGCGACGGCTATGTGTGCATGAGCTGTGGCAATCGGAGTTTCTATGACGCCGGACTGCCACGAAGTCAAGACACGGGTTTGGGCTCCTGGACCTATGTCCCTTCCCATGATGATGCTGGCAATGACCCTGTGCGAGGCGGACGACGCCATGGAGATCCACGACCTTTTGATGAGCCCAAAGAGACAGCAGAATCTGAAGTTCCCACCGACGACCCGGTGATCGACCCTTCCTCGCTCGAGCCGCTGAGGCCTTCGAGGCGGCAAAGGAAGGCAATTCGACGAGCCAAGCACTCCGGTGGACGAGACTCAGGTCAACCTGTCCCTGCAGTACCTGCGCAAGATCCTCAACCTGCGCCTCGATTACCAGGCCTTCATTCTAAAGCTCAACAATGCGATCCTCCTGCACGAAGAGATCGACATGTTCAAGCTTCCCCGCCTGATGGCGGAAGAGGCACTGGCGGTGGCAAGGGATCTGGCAAGCCTGACGCCGGATCAGATCAGGCTGGTTCGTCAAAGAGCAACGTTTGGCGAGACCAGATGCTGAAGAACATGCATGACATCCACCAGAAGTCACAGCAGGATAAGCCCTGGGACATCAGCAAGGGCCCTGCACCAGGCATCAAATACCGAGGCGGCACCCCTCCACTACCTCCTCATGGGAAGCTCATCGTGGAGACCTTCAAGCCTTCCAGCGATGGGAAAAGAAGCTAGCCGTCTGGCGAAGGCAGATCAAGAGCTACCTTCCGCCCAACGAAGCGTCCATGTACCTGTACGTCAACCTCTCCGGCGAAGCCGCCGAGGAGCTCGAACACTGTGAGCTCGACCTCATCGATCATGAACAGGGGATCGAGTACATCCTGGAGACCCTCCGCACTCCCCTCATGGTGAAGGGAGTGTACCTCAAGAGGAAGTTTTTGGACGACTTCGAGCGTCTGTCACGACGCAACGGCGAAAGCATTCCTGCTTTCACCAACCGATACCACCGTTGTGAACGAAGTCTACAATCGGTCGGCGTGCAGGTGAGCAACATGTACGACGATGAAGCTGCTGGCTCACGCCTCATGGATCGCATGAGACTTGGAGCCGAAGCTCAAAGGATGATCCTCATCGCCACCGGCAACTCCCTCCGCTACCGTGACATCAAAGAGGCAGCAGAAACCCAATTCCCAGAGCACCGTGCTACTCCAGCGGTGGTCTACAACCGGGACTTTGAGGACACACCCAAAGAACCTCGTGACCGCGGACGTGATCGACCTGACGGTCCACCTCGAGGTCAATGGAAGGCCAAAGATGGCAAAGGAAAGGGCAAGGACCGCGGCAAGAGCAGCGGGAAAGGCAGTTCGAGCACCTTCGTCCGTTCCTCCTACATCACTGAGATCCCCGAGGGTGGCCAGTCTGAAGATGAGCACGCCCCGGCCGAGGAAGATGAACTCGGCGGCGATGAAACGCCGCAGGAAGCAGCAGACGCTGATCCTACTGAACAAGAAGCCGATCAGGCCTCGGATGCAGCAGAAGATTTCTCCGACCTCGACCTGGCAGCACACTGCTTGACGGTGACGGCCAGGAGGCTATCCAACATGCGCCTTGGACGAAAGTTCTCAGGCGGTGGAAAGAGCATCTCTCAGCGCAAAGCAGAGAGCCATTGCGCCGTTTGTGGCCAAAAAGGTCACTGGCGAGGAGACAAGGAATGCCCACAGTCAGCTTCCTCCTCCTCTGAAGTCAAGCCCAAGACGGGTAAGGACGACTCCAAGACCAAAGGAGCCGGCAAAAAGGTTCTGTCTGTTTTGCACCCTGATGGACACAATCGCTCGGTGAACTTCAATTTGGACACCAACAATGACAAGGAGACCCCCTACGGCACGTACTTCACTTACATGGTTACTTCACCGGCGATTACTCCATCAAGAAATTTGGGGGATGGGCTTCACCAGGTCTTTGGGGCAAACCTCGAAACGTATGAGCACCACCTCATCATGGACACGGCATGTCAAAAGACTTGTTGTAGCAACACCTGGCTGGATCGTTGGACCCAGCAGGTGAAGCAGTACCACTTCCGCCCCAAGTTGACTCCCAGTCGCGAGCCGTTCGAGTTCGGTCATGGTCCTTTGCAGTATAGCACCCATCACGCCTTTTTACCATGCGGCTTCACCAGTGATGAGAGTTCATTTTGTTTGTTGGGCACGTCAGTTCTCACCACATCGAACGACATCCCTCTCCTTGGAAGCAACACGCTCCTCAAAGATAGACTTCAAGCCGTTTTGGACCTGCCCAACCAGCTTGCGTTTTTTGAGTGAACTGCAGTGCACCATACCAATTTGTTTGTTGAACGGCCACCTGGCCCTGGACATTGCACGATTCACCACATCCTCCAGTCGTTCGAAGGTTTGGAAACAGCTCTCTGAGTCGATCGATGCGGGTTCAGCTGATGCGGAGTTTGTTTTTCTTGCAGCCGCTGACAGCAGGTTCACCGACCCGTCATCGACGA